TTGGTTTTTGCTGTTTCATCAGGAATTCAGAGTAATAATTCAATTTCTGGGTTTAAGATGTTTTTACCAAGTGGGTTTAGCACAGGAGACTGCAGCTGTGCCCAATAGACATCTGAGGACTAATAACTATTTTATGTTCAGCCTGGATATATAACAGTTGTTTTCACAGAAGTATTTGTAGGAATTGGATTGGTCATGATGCCATATTGAGCCAAGAGCATCTTTTCCACAGGAGGTGATGGGACTTGAGAGATGTTTGGGGATTAGAAGATGTGGGAGCTGTAATCCCATAGCACCTCACCCTGCTGGTGCAGCAGGGAATCTTCCTGTGGATCTTATTTTTAGGGCTGTGCACAAGCAGGCTGTGGGAGTTCTGCTCTGGGCTCAGAATCCTGGCTGTCGCCTGGTATGACTTGTATGAGTGTCACCAGGTGTCTTGAGGAGCTGCTATAGACCCCAGGGGTAGGCTCAGAGTTCCTACGGGGAGAAGTGCAGGAATATGGCAGGAAGGGAACCAGGGACTGCGTGACTTCTTGATTGGCTGCAGGAGCCTCCTGCCTGGGATGGAGAGGGGGAAAGGGAGGTCTGGAAAACTCAGGCTGGAGATTAGACCACAGTGCCAGAAAGAGGCAGTTGGCTGGTACCTCATCATCTTGGGGTGGGGCCCAACAGAAGCCGAGACAGATGTTCCAGGCTAGAAAACCTAGGGTAAGGCAGGGACACAACAGCTGAGTCAGCCCCCAGAAAGGCTCGTGGTGACAGAGGAGCCATGGACGTGGTTGCTGACATGGCTGCCTGTGCTGATGGATGCTAGGGCCAGTGAGTAGGAAAGGGGCGACTGGCCAGGATTTGAAAGCAGAGCCACAGCATGGTGCAGAAGCAACAGCTCTGGGGAAAGAGTGAATCCTTATGTTTAGATCGTGGCATAGGAGTCCGTGTGATTCTTCCAGAGTGTGGAAGTCAGACATAGTCCACATCTGCTCGACAGCCGTGCTCTGCCTGTTGTGAGATTTGCTCCCCACGGCCACCTGCTCTTTTGTGCTCCTGTCCCCAGTCTTATTTAAAAAGCAGGATCCTGCAGCTCAGAGAAGTGGAGCCAGTTGTCAAGACACACAGAAAATAAGCAGCAGAGCTGGGAATTGAACACAGATCTGCCAGTCTCTGGAGCCTCGTCCTTCACACCACATTAGGGCTGCTTTCGGTGTCTTACACTGAAGAATTGTCCCCAGCGAAGAAACACCCACAACAGCAGAACCATGCATTCCACTTCCCATGTTGGACACAGGCACGTGTGTGCACACGCGCACACACACACACACGCACACACACACACACACCTTCTCCTTGGGGTCCTACCTTCAGCTGCAAACTTCTTCAAATCCATGTGAATTTTGGATCCTATCATCATTATTTAGCCTTTTTAAAATCTAAGACTAAAGTTTGACATTATCTTCAAGTTTTCTAGTGAAATGGACTCCAGAAGAAGGCATGTGTTTATCCCGGGGTTCAGCGTTCCTCTGGCCAGGCTGTGTATACGCCCTTAGGGCTGTGATCATACCAGACTAGTCCCTAGCACAAGCAGAAATAATGGAAACGCTGACCATGCCAGAGGCTGTCACAGGAGAGTCAGAAGTGGGAGGGTGCAAACCCCAGAGAGTGTCAAGGGGGAACGGTGGATGGTCCCACTGTTCAGCAAATGAAAAGTCACAGACAGGTGGAGATGTCAGCAGTGCAGACTAGAAGCAGTCAGTCAGCTACACGATCCCAGCCATCTGGTTCACCTAACATATTTAAATCTAAAACTAAATATAGCTTCTTTCCCAAAAAGCACTCAGCATATTAAAGAACGAAGACAAGATGGAGATTTTCACGTTGTGCCTACAGATGAGGATATTGAGATCTAGATCCTGGCTTAGAATATCCTGGTAAAGATGCAAGGCACTTCCTCCTTATTGTATCAGTTAGCTTTTGCTTTGTATCAAGCCCTTAAAACTTACTGGCTTCAAACAGCAACCGTTATATTTGCTTATGATTCTGGGGACTGGCCATATAGTTCTTTTAGTCTGGACAGGCTACTGATATCCATCTGCTGGTAGTGTGGCCGGAGCAGGGTGGGCTGGGATAGCTTCATTCACAGGTGTGGCCACAGCAAACTGGTTGTTTGAAGGGAGCCTCAGCAGGGACTGCTGACCTTGGCTCCATGTGGTCTCTCATCCCCCAGCAGTCTGGCCTAGGGTCTTCACATTGCCGTCTCAGTGTTGCAAAAGCAGCAAAGGAAGACAAGCCCCAGTGCGTAAGTACTTTTCAGGTCCCTCCTTGTAACACATTTGCTATTGTCCCATTGGCCAAAGCAAATTCCTTGGCCAAGCCAAAAGTCAGTATTGGAAAAGCCCGGGTAAGCCCATGGATGCCAAGGGCATGAGAAAATTGGGGGCTGTTACTGCAACAAATTTACCATGCTGTAAAACGGAGACTTAATTGAGCAAGTAACCGTCGTTGCCACTGAATGCCCGCCTGACCACCTGAAGACAACTCTCAATAATGCTGTGGCAAATCCCGTATGAAAAGACAGTGTCTACCGGGGCAGTAGCTCATGCCTGTAATCCCAACACTTTGGAGGCCAAGGCAAGCAGATCACTTGAGGTCAGAAGTTCGAGACCAGCCTGGCCAACGTGATGAAAACCCCATCTCTACTAAAAATACAAAAATTAGCCGGATGTGGTGGCGGGTACCTGTAATTCCAGTTACTAGGAAGGCTAAGGTAGGAGAATCACTTGAACCGGGAGGCAGAGGTTGTAGTAAGCCAAGATTGTGCCACTGCACTCCAGCCTGGGCTACAACAGCGAAACTGTCTCAAAAAAGAAAAAGAAAGAAAGAAAGAAAAGGTAGTATCGAATAAGACCATACAAAACATACTTAGCTGTTCCAGTGGCCTCTCCTGCCAGTCAGGGAGGGGGAAATCCATTAAGAGCTTGGAAGCAGGACGTGGTTGAGGAATAAGACCTAACCTAGCAGCAGAAACAAGGCCCTCACCTCCCACAAGCAAAAGCAGAGCAACCAGCAGGCAGGTCGGCCTCTGAGGTGATGACACAAAAGATACCACACGGCATCACAAACCGGAGGTGGGTGATTCCCCAAGGCTGGCACAGTGGCTTCCCAGGCCCAGAGTGAGAGGCCTGAAGACAAGATTTGAGCCAGAGCTGCAGAGGGAGGGAAGTGCAGGAGAACATGTGTACATGTAGTACTGAGCTTGGGCATGGGGGCACTGACTCTTGCTCAGGGATAGTGACTCATGGGACAGAAGTGTTTCCCCCCAGCTCTTCCTTTCCAACTTGGGTCTGGGAGAAGGGCTCCCACGAAGAAGGGCCATTCCGTCATTAACAAGATGGTGACCTGAAAATACACCACCGATATGCACAAACATATTCATGGAGGAGGCTTCAAGAAGCATGCCCCTCCAGCACTCAGAGAGATTGAAGGAGAGGGGGACTCCAGATGTGCGCATTGATGATACCAGGTTGAACAAAGCTATCTGGGCCAGAGGACTAAGACGCATCCCATACCACCTGTGCGGCTGTCCAGGAAACATAATGAGGATGAAGATTTGACACACAAGCTCTATATTTGGTTACCTATGTACCTGTTACCACATTCAAAAATCTAATCAATGGACAAGAGAACTAACTGCTGATTGTCAAATATGCCAGATGGAGTTGTAAAACCACAAAGTAAATACATAAAATGAAATTGGGATCTGTTTGTTAACAGAGGTGCTGGTTGCTAGACACACAGGCTCAATTGTAAGGTGCAAGTGCATTTTCATCAGTCTGTTAGCAAATGTTCTCTTTTGGTAGAAAGTCTGACAGGTCCTTTAAACAAGTGGGTTTTCAAACTTACCTGCTGGGCCCTTGGGGAGGAGGTGGGAGGCAGGGGGCTCTGGAAGTCTGGCTCTTGCTTTATTCCCAAAAGACATGCTTTTCATAGTATAGCTTATTGAGATAGGATTAACCCCAAGTGTACAGCTCAATGGCTATATTCAGTGATATTCACAGTCACACAGCCCTCACACATTAGCAGATGAGCTTTTATCTGATTTTGTCTGTCTGGTCTCTGAAGGATATTATATTTGAATGGGGGAAAGATTCAAGTTTGAAATTACTGTCACAATCTAACTGTAGTTTAAGAACCTTTTCTAAAGAGATTATGGCTTTCAAGTTCTCTTTAAAATCCCAAAGAGAACCAGGAAATAAACTTGACTTCTAAAACGCATAGGGTAAAAGTTATAGTAGTCTTTTTTTTTCCCCCACAGAAGAGACAGTTAGGACCTTATTTAGCCTTTTAAAAAAATCCTTTTGTGCCTTTGTAATGTGGTTAGAGGAATTTGGAATAGGCAGGACGAGGCTCCCAAAAGACCCCTGGACCACTAAGCCAGCTGAAATAGGCTCAGTGGTCCAGGATGAAGGGAGGTCTGGATGAGCAGATGGAGCTAGTCAATCCTTTTCCACACCCAAGCCACCCCCCAGAGCACTGCTGCGGTGCACATTGCAAGGATTGGTGTTCAGATTAACAATTACAATTAAAGAAGACTAAGGTCATTTCAGCCAAATGTCCATCAAAAAAAATTTGAAGATTTAAAGGTTAAAGTTCACAGCGAGGTGAGTCTACGTGAAAATTTCCGTCATTGTCCAACACAGTGTACATTCTCAATAAACATCCTTTGCATTTTTCCTTGGGAAGGTCATGTCTATAAAATATCTCAGTCCCTCTTGATGTCAGATAAACAAAGCATTCATGAACTGGTTTCCTCTTACTAACTGGAAGGGTGCATTCTTACTTGGGCTTATTTGGGGGCAAAGACTAACTCTAGAGCATGCTGTTGTTCTCCAGCTAGAGATGCATGCTTCCCTGCCAGGGGACTGGGCTCATCAGATTGTTTTCAGTTGACAAACTTGGTTTTCCACCTCTAAACACTTCATTTATCACCTCTGCTTTATTCACAGGACATGTTCCCGATTTGAGGTGAAACCATGAAGAGAAAATAGAATAATTAATAATGCTTTTCCGCAACCGCTTCTTGCTGCTGCTGGCCCTGGCTGCGCTGCTGGCATTTGTGAGCCTCAGCCTGCAGTTCTGTGAGTAAGCCGGGCACCGCGGGTTGTGGGAGGGTAGGGGCTTCGTAGGAAACAAGGAGGTCCCGAAGCCTTGTTTTATAAATGAACAATGAGGTTGAAGACAACGAAGTCTTTCTGTTTTTGGGGCTCACAGTAGCCAGTTACAAGGAGGGATCCTAAACCATAGAGCAGTGTTCTGTGTGCTTTTCTGACTTTTGCATGAACTCCTGAACTGCGCTGGTTATTCCCAAATTTTTTGTTCAGATTCCCCAGATGAAGACACTGAGTGGCCCTGCTTGACTTCTTATGCTGAGCTACACAGAGCAGAGCTATTTGGCCCTTTGGTTGGGTCCTTGAAAGTTGGGTGTCTGTTTAGCATTCAGTCAGCCACGGGGCTGGAGTTGTTTGGGGGAGGGTGGGGAGGTTAGGTCACCAGTATCAAACTCGCCCCCCTGGGCAGCAGGGGCTGCATCGGAAATCCCCTGTGACATGGTAGGAGCACTCTGAGAAAGCCAGGCCATGGGCCTCAGCATGCAGCGTACTCTGCTGAGATTCCTAGGCTCAGGCCAGGCCCCAATTCTGTGCACACCACAGCTTCCCCAAGAGTGGCTGTGTTCAGACACAGATGTGGTCCCAGGACCTCCTTAGTGACAACCCCTCAGTGGTGGCCCATGGTCTTCTGGGAGGCCCCTTGACCTCCTGTGGCCCATGTCTGTTTCTTCTGTGCTCAGATCCTGGTGCTCCTTTACCAAGAGTGTTCTCTTCCTCACTCCCTCTCATCCTTTCCCTTTTAGCCCTTGCCTCTTCTCCTCCATGAACCCCTAAGGGTTTGGTGCTTCTTTTATATACATCAGGATGCCCTGAGTCCATGAACCTATTTCCCTTTCTCCTTCCCTTCCTTCCTTCTGCGCCCCCTCCCCTTTGTTTTCTCTTTGAATCAGGGTCTTACTCCATTGCCCAGGCTGGAATGCAGTAGCGCGATCACAGCTCATTGCACTCGACTTCCCAAGTTTAGGTAATCCTCCCGCCTCAGCTTCCTGGGTAGCTGCGACTGGAGGCATGCACCACCACACTTAGCTAATGTTTTGTATTTTTGTAGAGACAGGGTTTCACCTTGTTGTCCAGGCTGGTCTCGAACTCCTGTGCTCAAGTGAGAACATAAGTGTTACATAAGCATAACCCTGTGCATTATAGATTAGTGACATTTTTTACAGCACAGTAATAAGCAACCAATAAAGCAACTAAATAATGGAGCAATTAAACTCCATTTCTACAGAAATGGGGAAATTCCAAAGTCACAGTTTACTTAGAGGAAGAGTAGTAAGAATGTGGGCCTCCCAAAGTTCTGATATTACAAGGTGTGAACTACCACTCCTGGCCCCCTCCTTTCACCAACCATACAGTATTATAATTTTCAGTTCTTGTGTCTTTTCCTTCTACCAGATTGTCTGCTCATTGAGAGCAAGGACCACATCCTGTTTCTCTCTGTATCCCAGGAATCAGCACTGCCCAGCACATAGTAATATTTTGTAAATGTGCTGAATGCATGAATCCATGCCTGCTCTAAAAGCAGACAGACCCTAACTTTCTTTCCTTCTGTTGCTGTGTATTTGAAGCTGAGAAAACATCTATGCAATGCCAGGAATTGTGTTGTTGCTGTCACCTGCCTTCTCTCCATTTAACCACTTCACCCTGATGGGTGGGAGACAAGTAATTGGCACCCACACCATCCAGGACAGCTGTATGAGGAGGTGGCGTTTCTGTTGCAGTTTGAATGATGGAAAGACCGGCAGGTGGTTGGGTGAGTGGGATGTTGTGAGTGTACAGAGGAGCGTGGGGAAGGTTTGGCTCTAGGAGGGGGTGGTTTGAAGAGAAGAGGCTTTGAGGAAATTTCCTTGATTCACTTCCAATTGTGACATATTCCTGTGCACACATCTGGTGCATATGACAGGCTGTTTCTAATAGTAAAGAGATTTAAAAATACTCATCCTTCCAGAATTGGAAAAGAGGTCAAAAGAAGGTGGGCATGAGAAGTTTAAAAATATTCCAGATGGCAAATGAGCTGTAAAATAGGAATCCTTTCCAAAAAGTGTGGTAAGGTTTTCAGTAGTTTAATTGTTCATAACCTTTCATTAAAACTTTTCCATCCTTTGGTTGGAGAGGTAGGATGTTACACTCAGCCCTGATTTTATTTTGAGAGGCTGACAGGTTCTGAGACATGAATGTGTGTTACTTGTGTTTGTGGCACTTCTCTTGCATGAGCTGCTTTCCACGTCACTGAATTGGCCTGTGTGTTTTGCTTATATAACTCTTCTGAAAGTACCTTCTGTTTTAGGAAAGCCAATTTTCAGCCATACTTTTTTTAAGGGAAATTTTGCAGGGTAAATTAGCCTGGCTGGGTCTGAGCTCTTTATTCTTGGTTATCTTGTTGGAGATCGGAAGGATATTAAGATATGGACGTTCTTACTGCTCTTCTTCTCCTAGGTAAAGTGTAACTTTGAAATTTCCCCATTTCTGTAGAAATGGAGTTTAATTGCTCCATTTATTTAATTGCTTTATTGGTTGCTTATTATTATGCTGTAAGAAACAGTACTAATTCATAACGCACAGGTTTACGCTTACATAACACTTATGTTCTTATTCTTATCCTAAAATACATGGACTTTTATTCTTTACCATTTCTTTTTACTTATTTTTGAAGACAAAATTAGCACATATGATTGTTTTAAGTAACATATTTGAGGCAACTAAGTATAACTTGGTTTTCTCATGCTTTAAGAGTAAGGCTTTGTTGTCTGAAATGATCATATCTTTTATTTGGTCTGGTTCGTAGTTTTTTTTCTGATGTTTTGAATGTGAAAAAGAAATGGCCCAGGTTATGATTCAAAAATCAGATTGCTTAAATAAGGATCTTCCTCTGGATATAGAAAGTATGTAGTGAACCCACATGTATTTATTAAGTGCTTATGTATATTTGACATTTTTCTGCACTATGGAGGTGGAAGTAGTAAGGAATACAGAAGAGATTAAGATACTGTTTATAGCTTCTCAAAATATGTTCATCTTAAATGCTACTAGTGACTTGCTATATGGTAATAGTCTTTAATAAAAATAATTCCATTTATGTTTTCAAGTCCTTAGTGTTTTGTGTTTAGAAGGTGAGACATTCTGAAATTACCGATGTTTGAATTGTAGAAGGAAACAGGCAAGGCAGAGATATTTTTTGTTATTGCAGTTAAAATACATACAAGTGGAAAAATAACTTCAAATTAAAAGACTCCTTTAGTGCAACAAGGAAAGACTGTCAGGATGTGAAGACTTAGGAATCATGAGTTATGTTTCTGCTTTTTGTGCTCATTTGTAATCACTCACTCCCCTCCTTGGCCCCTGCATTTCCCTAATGCTGATTTTATGCTCATTTCTCCATGTTCTGACCAGCATTTCCAAAATGGCGGCGTGACAGGAGCTCGCAGGCCCTAGAGTCATAGTTTGAATGTCAGCTTCCCTGCTAAGCTATCGTGTGTCCTCTTCCTTCTTCTGTAAAACAGAGTTAATTATTGCTGCTTTGCAAGGTTGATGTGAGAACAGAGATGGTGTGGGAAAACCCTTGGCTCGTGGAGGCATAACTGACATAAACCTTTTAAGCAAACCAGTACAGTTTCATCATAGTGCACCATCATCAGAAACCAGGGCTCCTGGTGTTCTGGAAGTTGCCAGAGCTTATGTTACTTCAGCCACTTGGTGGGGAAAGCTTTTGAAATATATCACACATGTATTTGTTTTTAAGCAAAGTGCATTGGCCATGATGGGGTTAATTTATACTGAGCACATGGCACCCATATCTGGGGTTTTCCTCTTGGGCAAGCCCCCGATTGGCCAGAGCAGGTTCAGAGGCAATGCTGAGGGTGAACTGGAGATTCAGATTCCCAGTGGAAAAAGTGGAAAAGTGGAGGGCTAACCTGCAAAAATGAGAGTGAGGGTTGTTGTCAATATCTGAAGGGCCCTCTCTGCAAGAGGAGGTGAACATGGAGAGACATTTCAGTTAAGCATATGGTAGAACTTCCTGAAAGTCAGTGCCATGCAGAGGTGGAATGGATAGTGTGCTCTCTGTCACTGGAGTCTGCCAGCTCTGGAGGGCTGCTCTTTGAAGAGTAGCATATTGGACAGGTCATTGAGTCTGATCCCATTCAAAGTCTCTTTAAACTCTGAGGTTTTCTGAATTTTATCTTTTCTCATTGATCCAGTGCCATGAGTATGTGACATTTTGTTCTTTAGCGACTGTGCTTTAGTTTCCACTGTGTGTTAGGCCCAGGGCTATTTGTCCAGTGGAGAAGAATCACAAGTAGACCCCCTGGAAGACCGGGTGCTGTGTGCTGGGACAGGTGAGAGTCAGCAGCACAGTGGGGTCAGAAAGAACATGGGCTCCAGAGCCAGGATGCCTGGATCAAATCCCTGTCCACCACATACCAGCTATGTGACCTCAGGAAACTTATTTACCCACTCTGTGCCAGATGGGACAATGATAGTTCCCATTTCATAGGGTTGCCAAAGGATTCAGCAAGCTAATACTTATAAAACACCTGGAACGGTACCTGGCACCTAGTAATCACTACATATGTGTTTGTTAAATCAAATGAATTCGAGATCGTTTATGGAAGGGTAGTATGAGAGGCTAGAGCACAGGAACCCAATCCAGCTTGGAGTCGGGGAAGACCCCCCTAAAAGAGATGGCATCTGAGTTCATCCTTTAAGGAAGGCAGGAGTGGTCAAAGAGGTAACTGAGCACAGGTGCTCCTGGCCAAATGTGCAAAGGAAGAGTGAGAGAGAGCAGGCCCAGGTGAGTCGCCTGTAGGTAGCTTTGAAATTGGAATGAAGTCTGGGACCTAGCTCCTATCGCTGCACTATATCCTGAAGGGTGTGAGGAGCCGCTGAAGCAGGGAAGACGCCATCAGATTTGTGTCTTGGAAAGACTGCAGCCCAGCACCGTGTTTTCCAAAGCACCTTCATCAGAATCACCTGGG